ACCAACACCGAACCTTGCACTTAAACACACAACACACAAAACACACCGGAACGTAGCCTGGTCACTCATCACCAACACACACCATCGATCTGATATGGTAGGAACCGTCAGGTTAGGGTTAGCTCTTACTAGCTGATATTCCACGCAACCACACGACACCACAACCGCGGCAATCATAGAACACCACAACACACACCACACGCATGGCGAATAGCGCTGTCGCCTGCGCAGCGATCCGGCGGCTATATGTAAGTCTAACAGACTAGTTTAGGGTTAAGGGAGTAAAGGCGTAGGCGACTTCCCCTAGACACTCAACACACCACACCACACAGTTAGTTGGAGTTAGGCCGAGGTTACGTCCGGCATATTAAGATAGTACCCAGGTTTGTACGTTCCGTTATACAAACGGACTGCACCCAGCTACGGTGTACGTTCCCGGCAGTACCTCCATATATAGGACATAGACGCCTCTCAAACACTAACTAATAATTAAGATATGCTGAACACCGAGCCAGTGGCTGTGTGACTGACAGTCAATATACATAAGGTCATTCTACACCCTAGCAATACGCGGTTTCTTGGAGGCTTAAAGGGTATGGGCATACTCAGCAAGGTAATAAATTAATGCATTTCCAGTTTGATATTCGTCCTGCAGTTTTTGAGTTTTAGCATGTGTGGCCTATATTGTCCACCCCCACAAACACCACCCAACAGACACGAATCAACGCTCACCCAGTTTTTGCAAGGCCAGAGGCGGGGCGACCATTTAAATCCAGTGGACTAAGCAAAGTACACAAGCCTTATGCACAGGTACTTCATAAAAAACCCAGCAGGAGCACGCGGAAGCCAACTAACGAAAAGAAGGAAGGAATGTTAATGTTACCTAGAGAAAGAAAAGTGCTAGAAATAGAGATAGTGATAGCGATTATGCTATAACCCCAAATCCTCCACACTTTAAAGATCTCTCTACTTTTCGCCGCTAAGCTACTTAGCTTTCCACTCTATCAAATACCTACCTACTTACCACTATCACAGTCCTTACTAACGCACACACTATCTCCATCTAACTATGCTTGCCTCTTTCTTAAACTATTCTAAAACCTTGTCCTCTCCATATATTCCCCTATCTATCATCGCAACCATTCTCTATTTCTCCACACGCCATATATTCCTACCCCACAGCGCGCTGGGCTTCCTTCACCATCATCAACCGGCTTATTTCACCCACCTCTATATTAGCCTTCAATTATCTTACTTGTGCCCTGTTCCCCTGTCCACGCTTCCTCACCCTTGCACTCTATCCACCACCATGCACAAACAAGCCACTGCCGTTTGCTACCATGCAGCGTTGAACTATATGATAAGATTATACATGGTTGCAAATAAACACAATACAGATAATTGATTTCCGAATTGGCCGATGTTTATTGCACTTATTTAAAGTGCGTCCAAACACAAAAACGTGAATCCGAATTTCGCGTTAGCCACACTTATTAAGTGTGTCCAGGATGCACAATAGCTCCTTTTGCCGCACACTTAATTTTAAGTGTGTCCCAAAGTTTCTTGGCTAAAAAATTTTCTTGCTCCCAAAACGTATTTCTAAGTGCTACTATTCTAAAAAACCAGAATGGAATCAAAACCTGGCACGGCGAGCGGGCACTTTATAAGTGTGGGCCAGATTGGCAGCATAGCTCCAATTGCTCGCACACTTAGTTTTAAGTGCATCCGGATGCAAGCTACCCCACACACCTCACATGTACACGTAACAAGCACACGATTTCAACCGTCAAACGTGGGAACGTTCATCAAACCGGATGCGACGCACCCAGGGGCACGGCATCGTCGAATAAAAAAAAAAAAAAAATAAAAAAAAAAAAAAAAAAAAAAAAAAAAAAAAAAAAAAAAAAAAAATAGGGCAAATTGGTTGAATTTTGGGCCCTATACGGCGAGTACGCACCTCGCAGCTCCACCCCTCCGTCCGCCGGCATGATTGTGACGCAGTTCCCGGCCAAATGCGCTGACATGGTTGAAATGCGGTTTTCATGGTGAAAATTCAGCCCGCATTTATAATCCGAACGTAAAATCAAAATTAAGTGTGGCCCAGGGAAAAATTCACGCACTGCCACAACTTATAAGTGCGAATAGTCACTTCCTTTCGAATTTTCCGAGAAATTGTATAAGGCCTCATATTCATAAAATATCGCAAAATTAAATGGAACGACCTTAAATATTCTACTAACAATTCTCAATGTTTTCCATGCCTCGAATTAAAGCATCGCCCAACGTCCCGACCAAGCAGGGCCACGGCACAGAACACGGCACCTCCACTGGCAACACCGCACCACCAAACGCACAACATTACATTTACATTAACAATTACATTTACATACATTAAACAACACACAAACACACACACAACACCAACACGACAACACACACACACACACACACACCACACTCGGACAGGCACCAAACGGGCCGCGGCGGGGCCGGGGGCGCACAAGCACACAAACACCGCCCTTCTGCATTTAAAGTTTTATAATTATAAAATTATAAATTATAAAACTTTAATTGGTTATGAAATTGGTTCAGAAAACTTCGTTCGTGCGGTGAACTTGTATATTGTAGAGGGGCATTTGAACGACATTTACAGAAAGATGTTACCAATAATAGGCGAAAGAGAGTAGAGAAACATTAAGAGTTTGGTAGTATATATATATACATTTTGCGGTCATCATTTTATTATTGAAACGTTCCAAGTGCCTGTGCTCGTATCCTTACTTCATCCGGCAACGAGAATTACTAGCCCTGTGATTGCTAAATTTAGTGAGGGTCGGGTTTGGTTGGCTGTGGATTGTGGCTGCTGTCATTGCGTAGTAGAACGTCTTTCCTTACACGGACCCTGTAGATCTTTAGGCCACAATTAAACAAATCTTTGTTTGCCTTCACCCGACCCAGACTGAAAAGTTTGGGTAGGTAGGTCGGCTTTTTTTGAGGGCGGGGGTCTTTTTACAAATTCAGCATGGTGTCTACATGCTCGGGTGTGCTTGTGTGGAGATACCTTTTATGTTGAATGTTTGTTTTGCTTGATACATATAATGTATTGCCTACAGATTTATATAATGTACAGTGATACAATTTGTAAAAAGAAAAGAAAAAGATCACTAAAATTTTTTGAGTCGCCCCCTTTTTGGCGGGTCGGTTGGGTGAGGGCAAACAAACAAGATTTTTATCATGGCCTTACCGAGACAGCCGTGTTGCAACCAACACTTAGACGGCGGTGAAAAAATGGTCTGGAAACTCACCAGTGATAAGTCGTCGATTGCAGGGCTTGAATTTCACATCGACGCTTGCGCTGCTTACTTGCCCCTGAAAACTGTACGATATCGATCAAGAGTCCATAGAAAATTCTAGAAATTCTAGAATTTTCTATTATGGACTCGTGATATCGATATCAGTGGCGATAAATAACCATGGCTGTCCTACTCGGTGTGTTCCTCTGCCCTTTCTATTAAGTTTCTCACTGCCATTCAGCAGTGTGCATTTATCCATCCTCTTCCCTGTGAAACCCCCGCGTTTCCCCGTGTTGTTAAAAACTGGCCGTGATAACCTGTCATTTGCAGGAGGTGCTTGCTCCTCCAATTTGCAGCGGCGAGCCTCAATCTCCAAGTCGACCGAAAAGGCAATACCTCAGTCCTGCTCGGCGCGAAAATAATTAAATTTCGATCCTCTGCAATCAATCACCTGGCGAGAGCTTTGGCGAGGTGCGGTCGTGAGTGCAGTGTAATTAGAGCTGCTCTCTTTGTGCAGGTTCAACTACCTGAGACCCAGATCCGACAGCTATGCCAACTGTCACGTGCCATATTCCTCGAGCAACCGATGCTAGTCGAACTGGAGTCGCCCGTCAACGTGTGCGGTGACATCCATGGTACGTAACACCTGTCTCTCAAGTACGTGTCACACCTGTAAGCTAGACTCACCTGTAAGCTAGGCTCACCTGTAAGCTAGACTCACCTGTAAGCTATGCTCACCTGTAAGCTAGACTCACCTGTAAGCTAGGCTCACCTGTAAGCTAGGCTCACCTGTAAGCTAGATTCACCTGTAAGCTAGACTCACCTGTAAGCTAGACTCACCTGTAAGCTAGGCTCACCTGTAAGCTAGACTCACCTGTAAGCTATGCTCACCTGTAAGCTAGGCTCACCTGTAAGCTAGACTCACCTGTAAGCTAGACTCACCTGTAAGCTAGGCTCACCTGTAAGCTAGTCTCACATGTAAGCTAGACTCACCTGTAAGCTAGGCTCACCTGTAAGCTAGACTCACCTGTAAGCTAGACTCACCTGTAAGCTAGACTCACCTGTAAGCTAGTCTCACATGTAATCTAGACTCACCTGTAAGATAGTCTCACATGTAAGCTAGGCT